TTTTCCCTTGAATGTTTGTTCTATCTTCTTATTCAAGCACTGAAGCTGGAATTGCAGCTATATATCCTCAGTTAACCCCTTCTTGCATTCCATCTACCAATCCAGCACTTGATTTGTGATTTTTGCTTCCTGAATTGTTTAATGAGAATAACTTTGTATTTCTGATGAAATTAGTACTGTTTTACTTGGCTATTTTCATGACAATTTGTTATCTTGATAGAGTATCATAACAATGTCAAGTGATTCTACAAACTAAACTATTTATCTGTGGTAAATCTGGTGATTGGTTAAATGTCAAATATTAGAACATTCAATGGAACACAAACCCCCGTGTGTCCCCTACATTTCTCAACTGAAGTTTGTAGCTTTTAGGCACTACTAAGGCAAGCATATCCTATGAGTTATTAGTTTTTCCTTTTATGAAGATTTTATTCAAGTAACTTTGTCACCAATTCAAAAGAAATCTTTTAATTCGATAATCAAGTTTTAATCCTGAGACTATTGAATGCAAGTTGGCCTGTCAAGGGATCCTTTTTCACACTTTCCGAGTAAAAAAGGTCTCGAAAAGCTTATAATCCTACTTTATGCAGTTGGCGTGGGGGTTGAGCTGGGAAGTAACAAATGCTTTTTGCTTGCAACCCATCATCAAACATCATCATGGTGGTCATGGATGCAATAACATGGCCTTCTCTCTCGCTCTCTCTCTCTCTATCTCGACAGCTTTGGCCTACTAGCCATGCCAGGGTATAAAGTTTTCTTTCTATCATTGCTTCGAGGTGATAAGAACCTCAATTAGACCTTAAGAAAGTGTGAGTAAATTATAACGAATTAATTAGTTTGAAAATAATAATAATCAAAATAATCATTTATTCTTTTACGTTTTAATTTCTTCAATAATTTAGCCATTTCATCATATTTTTTATTAGATTAGGGATTTTTATTCTCAAATTATCTTTTTCTTTTTTTATTGAGGAAAAAGAAAAAGAACAGATGAATGAGAGAAATAAAACAAGAAAGAAAAGATAATTTGAAAAAAAATCAATAATCTAATGAAAAAACTAAGTCATTAGCAAAATTAAAATGTATAAGATAAAATAATTAGTCTTTAAAATGAGAGAAACTAATTAATTCATGTGTCGGGACTAAGTTATAATTTACTCAAAGTGTTTTCAGGTTTTCATATTTTGTAGGGTTAATTTCAATTTACTTCCTTAAGATCTGGGAAGAATCCAGTTTCAGCTCCAGAGATTTCAATTGTATAAATGTCCTTTCCAAGGTTTCAACTACGCATCAATGTTTCTCTTCATGTTTCAATTACACATCAATGTTCTCCTTTAAATTATCTGAATCAAGATAAAAATATTTTTTCAGTCTCTAAACTTTTAAAATTTGGTAAAATAAGAACCTTTGGGGTTTTGACTGTATTAATGCTCTTCTTGAGGTTTCAATTACATATTATTTTTCTTTTATGATGTTTCCATTATGTATCAACGTTCTCCTTTAACTTATCCAAACTAATATAAAAATATTTTTTCAGTCCCTAAATTTTTTATATTTGATAAAATAAAGCACTGTGAGGCTTGAATTACATGTCAATTTTTCCATTGCGGTTTTAATTACACATCAATGCTCTCTTTTAAGTTATTCGAACTAACATAAAAGTGTTTTTCGGTTCCTAAAATTTTGAAATTAGATAAAATAAAACCCTCTTAAAATAATTTGATGAAATTAATCTTCTACTCCAATTAAATGGTTTAAATGATGCCATGTATATTATTTATATTTGAAAATATAAGATAACTTGTTAATAAAAAATTTAACATGTAGAGACTTGATTGCATAAACTTTTTAATGTAGAGATCAATATATATAATTTTTTTTTTGAAAACCTTAAGGGTAAAAAAAAAAAAAAAATCAATGAAAGATTAAATTATAAAAAATTAATTTGAGGACCAAAATAACTTTTTTATCATTTACAAGGACTAAAATGAAACCTTTTAATAAATTATTTTTTAACGGATATTAAATAGGGCATGTAAATCAAGATTTTAGAAGGTAAGTTTTTAATGTATGTGACCTGGATAGTTTGATATATATTACACTATTTTACATTTATATATTTTTTTAATATAAATTATGTATGCATTTGGGCATTTTGATTGAAAGTAAAAGATTTTATCTCGTTACATTATCCACAAAAGGTTCTATTTGATTAAATTTCAAGAGTTTAAGGTTGAAGAAGAAAATTTATTAGTTAATCTAATATGGAAACATCAAGAGAGAAACTGATACAATCGAGCACTAAAGGGAAGAAATTGAAATTGCCCCAAACCTCAAAGAGTAAATTAAATTGTGTTTTCCACATATATGGTCTATGTATTCTTCATTTTCATATTGATTGAGTTTTTGTACCTATTTTCGTGTTGATTGAGTCCTTCTATTCTTCATTGTGTTTTCTTTTCGTTCTTATATCATAATGCTATTAATTCTTGAGATGATGTTGCAAGTCCATTCTTGAATGCATGGCATGTGTCGTACATGAGACCCTAATAAAAAGACTCAATTAAAATACTTTAAAAAATATAAGGACTCAAATCAAAATAATTCAAAGAGAATCAAGGATTCAATCAAAACAATTAAAAAAGAATAGAGACTTAATCAACACAATTTGAAGAGTACAAAAATTAAATTTTTTTTTTTATTTTTATGTTATTGTTTATTTAAAATCTCATCCTAAATGCAACAATGTATCATATATGAGATCCAATCCCAGTAAAATTATAAAAGTATATATGTATATATATTTGTTATAACAAGTTAAAAATAGTAACATAATATTTAGAAAAGAAAAAAAAGAAGACAAAACTAGCACACAATCAATGATTAGCCATAAATTCCTAAATAATGGGTCTAATCCTCTGCAAAAATAAAAAATAAAAAATAAAAAAAAATAAAAATAAATAAAAGAGTAAATTTGAATATTTGATCAATTCAAAGTGAAAAATAGGATTGCTCTCCAATAAAAAAATAAAAAAAACAAAGGATTGCATCACATTTTCTTCTTTGACATAGATAACTATCTATGGGCCGATATTACTATTATTTTTATTTTTATTTTGACAAACATATTTGTACTTTTATGATTACATGTCGAGTTAATTTTATATGTATTTTATTATTTTTAAAAGATAAATTATGAAAAAAAAGCATGTAGTTAGATGGCGGAAACACTCGTACCCTCATTTAAAAGAAAAAAAAATACACTTTACATCCTATGATTCTTATATTTGTTTCAAAAAATACCTTATATTATAATTCTGTTTGCATTGCCAAATTTATGGGGAAAAAAATCCAAATTGTTACAAGTTTGGTATTATTATTTTTTAAATGGTCATAATGCTCTTTGAAGGCATTTCGACCTTTTTTTTTAAAAAAAAAAAGTCATTTGAGATAGAAATTTGCTTGTTTTTACTATTGCTTATGGTCTATATAATGCCTAAAAAATGTCAAAATATCTAACATTGAAAATCTAATAAAAAAACCAAAAACTGAATTTAAAACACTAAAATCTAGTGATTACACACTAAAAATCCAATCCCAAACATTTAAATTCATATCAAAACACCAAAATTTTCAAATTAAAACATCACAATTCAAGCATTTCAAAACAAAACACCCTCCTTATTTTTCAATGTCAACACCATCCCACGAGTAATAAAATCCTTTGTTCTAACACCATCAATCAACAAAGCTTTCATGGATTAAGATTTAAGAACATTAGATGTAAAAAATGCAATAAACGTGTCTTTGTTAGGATTTTAGAAACTTAGAAAAGCAAAAATAAATTATTCTACAAGTGTGATGATAAGTTTTGTGACAATTCCTTTATTGATTGGTGTGAACCTATTTATAATACCAATCAAGAAAGTAGTGCGGGACATAAAGTTAATATTTAACTCTGAAGTCCACAAGATGAAAGATGAGCCGAGAAGACTATGGGTGAAGCATCATCTATTGAAAATTAGTATTACAAGCTTTAATTATCTCTTAATAGCTAATATAGTATGTGCAATACTAATGTATGTATTTATATTAGTGTTATTAGTGAATAATTAGTAAAACAAAGCCTTGTATTGTTACAAACCAATGTGATTGCAAAAAAAAAAAAAAAAAAAAAACCAACTTACCTATATTGTCTAACATACCCATAGTGTCCTAATTAACCCACATCTGTCTAACAAACTCCCACTATCCAACAAACACCCACTGTCTAACAAACCTCTTACCGTTGAACATACTCACAATGTATAGAAACCTTCATTATCCAACAAATCCATCGTTCAACATATCCACACCTGTATAATAAACTTCTACTGTCTAACAAACCCCCATTATCAAACATATCAACAATATCTAACAAAACCTCTATTGTCCAACAAATCCCTATTGTCTAACAAACACCAAATGTCAAGACATTAGGAACACAATCCGAATTCAAAAGAATATTGTCCATTCACCATAAAAAAATAAAAAAAATATAAGATGAATATAAACAAGAAATTGGCATCACATCAATTGAAATTGTCAAAATAATTAGTTCATTAACTTATTAGCGCTTACCCACACTACTTGCAAAGGCAATAAAATAGAATATTTAAACCTAAGTATGTTCTAAGTTGTAATATATAAGCTAAGATATTATAAAATCATATATGCCAAAAGAAGTTGCTATCTATATAAGAAAAACAACTAATATATACCTCAAAGGTAGTGTATTTAACACCGGTATTGATCCCTATTTAGTGGTTGCCACGTCTAGCACCATTGCCATTAGCTTTATTACTTTTACTCTTCTTTTGTAGACCAAATCAAAATGAAATTTAATTATAAGTAAATATTTATCTTCAATACTTAGCGAATACAACACTCAATACAATATTATAAGTAAATGATCATTCATTACTTTTTTTGTAGCAAAAGTCATTTCAACAATCTTTGAGCTACCGACGAACATCACTGCCACCTCTCTTAACACCAGCCTTCTTTTCTACCACCCCAATTACCTTTTCTACTAATACCATCCCTATTTCCACCATCTTGAAGACTTCTACCTTACCAACGACTTCTTTTCTATTATATTGAAAACTGCTTGAACTACCACTAATAACACTACTACTTTTATTGCCACTAACTCCTCTTCTACCACCTCTACTACCTTTTCTATTAATACCGACTCTATTTTCACTATTTTGAAGGCTTTCGCCTTCACTAGTGGCCCTTTTTTCCATCATGTTGAAGGCTTTTTGAACTACCACCAATAACATTACCACTTCTATTACCACCAACCTCTCTCGTACCATCCTTACTACCTCTATTACCAAAACGACCTCTATTTCTACTATCCCGAAGGTTTTCGGCTTCACCACTAACTCCTCTCCTACCACCCCCTACCTGCACCACCAATTTTTTCAATCTAAGTAAGCAACAAAAAAAACCAATCATGTTCTAAAAAAAAATCTTTACAATAAAAAAAGAAAAAAAGAAAAGTGAGATTTTATTGAAACAAACAAGCCAAAAAGGCTCGACTCACCCCTTGTAATTATTCATTAGTATCCCTTTGATAAAGTTCTTGAGTTGTGGCTAAACTATTTATATATATTGTAGTTAACAATGATTTGACCTCTTATTTAAAGTGCTAAGGGTTTTTTCTCCTTGTTCTCTTCTTCTCTTATTTCTTGATTTACCAATACCCCTTTTTAGAATAAGTGGCAAGACAAAGCTTTATTTCTTTAGGTTATAGGTTTTCTTCAAGAAAAAGTGAACTACTTTTTATGAGAAAATTAGGAATTGTATAATAATAGTCATAATAATCTTTTAAGTCACCTATTTTGTGAGAGAAACAAGCTGCTACATACTTATAAAGGATCTTATTCATACTCCATTTACCACAAGAGCATTTAGATGTCTTAAAGTTTACACATATCTTCCGTATACCATCATAAACATTATAATCATATGCAACGACGAGGTTTCATTCTTAGGTTTCTTATTTTGTCGGTTACCTTATCAAGAACCCTCATCCCTCCTCTTCACCCTCCATGAATGGAGTAGTCTTGGTCTCTTAAGATGTTCCTTTTACAAATCTAGCATGAAACCTTGGCATTATCTTTAACCTAATCTTCTCTAGTAAACTCACTATAGGCAAGCCTCTAAATTTTCTAATCTAGTAATTAAAATATTCTACCAAGTTATTGTGACATAATCATTCTTCACATTCTTATAAAATACATGCGTTGACCATCTTTAAGCAGGTATTTTTTTTAACCACTTAGCAACTTTATAATTTACTACTTTAATAACCTTACTATGATGTTTAAATTGAAAGGCAGAATATGCCTTACTAGCCCTCCGTAAACCTAACTTTATTTCAAAACCTACAAACCTTTTTTTCATGAAGTTGGCATATATATACCTAGGACAATGTCTATGAGTTGTTTATAGAAAAATCTTCTTCATACTATCTAGCAAACTCTATAAGAAATAGTACAAGTTAGTAAAATCATTGTAACAGACTTACAACACTAAGTCAATAAGAAAGTCTAAAGTATATATAGTGTTTATTCATACTTTTTGCCAATCGGACATAAAACATAAAGCCTTCTCTTGAATTCCGGACTTTATACGATCATATAAATCGATAGAAACCACTTCCAATTATCATTATCCTCTACTTGGACAACATCATAGGCTAATAAGAATAAACCATTGTCTATATCCAAATACATTGCTGAAAGCAAAACTTCTTAAAATAAACCCTTTAGATGACAACCGTCTAATCTTATAAATAAATCTTCTACACCCGACCAAAAAGCCATCTTTCATTGCCTTTAAGCAAATAAATATCCTATTAAAATTGTTTAGTGATATGACTTCGATTTGAAATCAAGATCATAACTCAAATAAACAATTGAACCGAGGATTAGTCCGTCTCAATAACTCAATATATTTCAGCGGCAACCTATATGATTCATCATGACTACCCTCAATAGCTTACTTTGTTTTTTTTTCCCTGCATAATTGTATTGGCCTAGGCTATAATCTATAATTTTTTTCTAATATTGTCTCGAGTGTTGTAGTAGAGATTTTAGAATCATCACTAATGTAAGACAACAATCTCTTAATAATCCATATTGATTTAACGACCCCGTTGGTTAATAGTCTTATGTATATATGTTTTCCCTTCAATGTTTTCATCATAAAATTCCCCCATTAGATAATAAAGATGCATAAATACTCTAATTGTAACTAGCATCTTTACATTATGCATTGGTGTTATCCTTTTCATTCTTTCTTCTCTTCAATTCATATTCTTCTTTTACCTCATATAATTTCAGCTTCTTTAATGGCATAGACACTATAAAAAATTATACTCTTTAAAAATTATCTTTCCATCTTCTTTGAAAGTAAACCTCTTGGCTGTCATTTTCTTAGTTAGATCAACAATCCTATTTTTTTTTTTCCTTTTGGTCTCCTCCATCACTTTTATCACTCTTACATATATCATGCTTATCATATTCATCTCCACTAAGCTTCCACTCCTTATCACTCTTCCGTTCTTCCACCATCTCAATCTCAATCGCTTCTTTGGTACTCATATTTTAGTTCATAGTCTATTTATCGTCTTTATCATCCCCAAACTCATACTCACCCTCATTTGAGGGTAAGTATTCATTATCAAAACTCATTATCGCTACTAAAGCCAACTAAGTCATCATATTCATTTAATCGTGGCCCTATTTTATTCTTTTCAACTATCTTATTTTTATTAGTCCCATTGTCGGCCTCACTTTGTTGACTAACCTCATTTTCAAATATGGTGTTTTTCCTTTTGCTCTTTACTATATTTTTTTATCATCTACATTAACTAAACTTAGTCCCTATTTATCTAACTACTCATTTTTTTATATTAAAAATAGTTATATTATTATCTAGACTAACACCCCTATTCACAATAACCACACAATTGTCATCACCACCCTCACTTATATTGCCATTCATACTTGTCCCATGAATATCATGTCGAGACGAGAAAAGTACTTGTAGGTGAGCCTCTTTTTGTTATAATTGTCACGAAACGATTTGGCATTGAGAAATTTATTGGCTCTCTATTGGGATTCTCCTCCATATATAAATGGATAACCTTCTCATTTTCATAGGTAACCGAGACTTAAATAGTGGACTTATCTTTAATTAGTTCAACTCCATGATCATCTCGAATAAAAAATCTGTTCAAATCCATATCCAATACTTGCTTGGCTTCGAAATAATATGTCCATGTAGACGAGACAATTCGTGAATGAGCAATGCTCAATGAATGTTTGATCTCCATTGTGAATGTGTATTTCAAGCATTTTGTAACCTCGTATGCAACCATAACAAAGGTTAAAATAAACAATTAATTTCTATCTTAAAAACCCAACATTAAACAATTTTAAGGTTTTTTTTGGAAGTTTTAAATTAAAAACTTAAAAAACGATGATTATTTAATGTGTTTTGTTCAAAGTAATAAATTATAGTATAATCAATAAAATTTGATTAAAATAATCAATATTCAATATTTAGGTATTTCTCATATTAAAACCTAATTTTTTTTTTTAATTTTTTTGCTCAAAATAACCAATTAAAGGATAAACAAGTTGTTCCAAAGCAAAAATTAAATATTTAATTAGAATCACAAATGAAAAAACCATCAAAGCATCCTAAATCTTTATAGGTTTTGCTCAAGATTAGATAAAAATAATGTTAATGCTAACTTTTATGGATTAAATACATTTTCAAAGCAAAAAAAAAAAAAAAAAGGTTATGCTCTTTACATACCCAGTTTCACCTTCAAATTGTCCTTCGAACGTCTTTAATTCAACCGAAAACAACCACAACAATGATAAATCAATAATAACACATGATAAAACACTTCAATTTCAAGAGATTTGGGGTAACAATAGGATGTTCTATACGGTTTCTCTCTCTTTAGGGGGAGAGAGAGAGAGATTGATAGTTGGGAAAGAGATCGGTTATGCTAAGCGACATGTGGAGTCTAATTATATATAAGAGGGTATTGTTGTTATTTTTTTATTTATCAGTCTAGAAATTCATCATAAATAAAAAATAAGATGTAAAGTGTAATTTTTAGAAATAGGAGTGTAAAGTGTCTTTGTAATCTAACTACATGATGTTTTTCATAATTTGTTATGATAAGATCTCATAAATAATACTTTTCACAGCATTCAAGATAAAGTTTTTAAAAAATAATAATATAAAAAGAAAAAAGAAAAAATAATAATTTAGTCCTTATACTCTTTGAATTATGTTGATTGTTTCTATTGGAGTCCTATATACGACACATGTTACGTATTTAGGAGAGGACATACCACATCAACTTATGAACTAATGATGTTATAACATATCATGTAAACATCCTATAATTACAAAAGGTGAAGAAATAAAAAAAGAAAAATCTAGAAAAACAATCAATAAATAAAATTGAAAGAATCTAAAGAAAAAAATTCTCATTCACTTGATAATTAAATTGGAATTAAATATCTAAAAATAAAATTTAAAAAGGAGTTGAATTGACATAATGTTTTCTCTCAATAATAATAACACTATCAATCACTATTAACAAGAAAAAAAAAACCATGACTATGTCTAGTAACAACAACGATGGCAATTAACTCAATATAGACAATATTAATAATCGTATTTCATGTTGTTTGTTTATTTTGTATTTCTTGTAAAAAAATAAAAATAAAAAGTTTCAATCTAATAGATAAAGTTTTATGAAAGATCCATAATATACTTTGTATTGTACTCTTTATCGTACTTTCTTAAATGAAAGCTTTTTAAGTTTGAAACTTTTACGGATCCACTATTGCTTTGTGCTAATTTGATTTTAATTATTAAAAAAAGAATGAAGGTGATAGGATTCAAGCTCCTAATCACTTGGTCAAAAAAGTTTTGATGTCAAGTAAAAATATCATTTCAATTTAAAAAATTACGTTGTTAGATGATGCTTTAGAATATAATTTTTTATTATACTCTCAAATAATTATATTGATAACTATATATAAATGCACGATATATGTGTCAAAACATTTGATTCGACAAAAATATTTTTAAATTTAAAAACCATCACATGAATTAAAAATACTCTTTTAGTAAATACTAAATATATTGGTTGACTTTGAAAGAATTCTACATGCCAAAATTATAAAGGCTTTTACTTAATATATATATATATATATATATTCAATTCTATCTCTAGTTAAGAAAGAAACTAAAAAATTAATGTAATTCCTACAAAAATAGATTAATCTCTTTTTTCTATTTCATGCTTTTTTATACATCACATAAAAACTTAAATAATATAAAATAAGTTTCTTAAATCACTCATAATCTATATCGTACTATTTTATCACTTTATTTAACTATTAAAACTCTAAAAATGCTTAAAAATAGGTAAACTAAATCCAATCTTTATATAAAAGGATATATATATAATGGCTAATAAATTTAAAAAAAAAGGACTCCTTTAAACCAAACGATTCTTAAATTTATATTCATACCTATATTTTTAAAATGGATCTTAGTTATTCTTTTGTAGGAAACCTTTGGCTATTGTTTTATGTTATCTTTGACTCTTTTAGAGGAAGAGATTTATACTTTTTTGACAAACTTTAATTTTATATATATATATATATATATATATATATATATATATATATATATATATATATATATATATATATATATATATATATATACACACTAGTCAAACTGTTGTAAGAAAATTTTATTCAGTCAATAATTAAAATTTAAAAATAATAAAGTTACATCAAAATTTATCAAATTATAAAATTAGATTCTTAGTTTTATTTATGAGATCCTTGATTATTGTTTTATGTTATCTTTGACTCTTTCAATATAGGGATTCATTTTTATTTTTTATTTTTACAATTGCTACTAATATTAAAAGAAGAATCCTTTAAACCAAAGGATTCACACAATCTATGTTCATGCATAT